ATATATATATATATATATATATATATATATATATATATATATATATAGAGTCAGACTTTTATGTAAGCTGAAGGTGGAAGGAAAACGTTACCAAACAAGTCTGATTGGTATCATGGAGACTAAAGAGGAAATTCAAAAGAAAAGAACCAGCACAATATAATAATATGTGGATCATCTTCAATAGCTCATAATCAATAACAAGAACCATCATTGAAGTGCCCATTAGTGCCTTTATCACAGTTTTAATTAAATCAAGCGTCTGTATAAAAAAAAAAATGTTTTGGAAATGTCCTGTTAACATGGAGCTATTATATATTCCACAGTGACTTTTCTTCATGTTAAACGTGAGCCATGAGATCTTTGAAGGTAAATTTACTATTATAATAATATCTAAACCACACAATTTCTGTTTGTTTCTAACTTCTTAATAATTTTACCAGGTTCAAAAATACAAACCAGCTATCAAATAAATCTGCTTTACTATTGTCAATTAAAAATTGTATATATGTTTTTTACATTACCTCAAAAAGATAACTTTTTTTGCACAGATGTTCAAAGAGCTCTTAAGAGCCAGTTTCATTACTAAATGTAAATAAACGTTATCAGCTATTTTTGCAAACACTCTAAATGATGAACATGGCTGAAAGACATGTCAGTCATCAATGTACAGTGTATTTTATATCTGATGGGTGAAAAGATGTTTTGTACAATTATTAAAAATCTATTATGTAAATTCTGACATCAGTCTTATTTTTCTCTTCCAAAAACATCCACATCACTTGTCATTTAAGGATTTCCTTGAGCCACTGTGGGCTGATCACCTGAACGATTATTTATGTGCATCACATTTTATTTCAAGTCAATGACACATATGACATTTAACACATTCTGTCACAAGACAAGGGTATGAAGTTATTTATCTAAAAAAGGACTGAATGCAGAATGCTGGTGTTTCATTTCCTCCTTCCCCGCCTCCCTCTGAAGCCTCGGACGGAGCCGTGACCGAAGCACACCGTTGTGGGAATCCTGAGAGACAAGAACGCAGCTGTTGTTTTATATCTCCGATTGTTTATCGTTTGAATAAGAAAAACTAGTAAATATTATGAAGATCTCCACTCGCATATGTTTTTAGTATAATATTTTGTACATAAATGATAGATAGAGTCCTACAGTTTGTTTTAACCTAAACTTAACTACACAGTAGCACAGGTTTTACCTCAAGAAGAGTGGAATCTTAAATTCCTTAGAACATGGTTAAAAGATGGCTGACTTCGTCTCTCTTAGCAGGGCTTCCTGCAGACTTGTTTAAAGACTAACCTGTAGGAGTACCGTGGTTTTAGCGGATCGGTGCTTGTGTTCTCCGTGCTGTGAGCTGCAGCAGAAAGATCGGCGTGCTCCTCAGCAGAGGCAGGCTTTGCCATGCGAGCAGCTTCTTCCTCACACACATGCGTCTCCATGGATTCTCCTTGCTCAGGTTGATCGGACAGCACATCACACGCACCCTCAGACTCACACGCATCGTCCACAACCTCCATGGCCGTGTCTTTCTGCTGCTGTCTCTTCGTCTGCCGGGTTCTGTTTACAAAGATATGATAGTACAGAAATACACAAACAAGGGTATTTGATGAAAATCATGTTTCATGATTTAACACTCGTCGAAGCAATTTTACCGTTTGTAGGGTCAGAAAAATAACACAAAAATATGAATTTAAAGCAACTCACACTGTAGCTGAGCATTTAAAGGAAAGTTACACACTGGTTTAAATAAAGAATCTCAGTCTATAAATTACCCGACATGTTATGTTGACAGGAGAATATGAAATAGTAAAAACAAAAACAAAAAAAACACATTGCTTTAACTCAGGATAATTCCTGTTCACTATAACAAACATGGACTCTCCTTGACTGAAACCTTGCATGGAGAAATATTTCTACTGGGGATTTGCTGCCATCTAATGGACAACATATGCAGTCTCACCCTCTGTCCTTCTTGGTTTTGTCAAATCTGAAGTCTGGAGGATACTTGTGAATTCTTATTAGGTGGTCCTTCCTGTGTTTGCTAGTCCTGAACGTCTGTCCACAGCCCTCCACCAAACACTGGTACTGAAAGGTGTAAAATAAGCATCATGGAAAACTTTAAACACTCAGTATTCATCTTCAAAGAATGTTTCAAATATTTTATTATTTACATTTTTTTGCTCCATGACAATAAAGATGTCAGGACACAACGTCAGACTTCGGCTCACCATATCTTGCCTCTGGGCGAGGATGGTGAAGAGGGAGTCGTGCCACTCCTGAAGGTGAATGTCTAGCAGCCGGGCGCTCGGCAGGGAGCGACGGCAGGAGCAGCACACGTGTCTGTGCAGGGAGTTGTAGTGGTGCTCATACTCCTCCAAACTGCTGAAGACCGCACTGCAGCCAGAAATGTGGCAGGCAAACTCTGACACACTGAGACAAGGCAAGAAGAGGAGGAAGGTGACCCACACTGACATTGCAGTTATAGAGGAAAGGATCCACTGCTGTTAGCTCAGGAACTTAATTTCTGGGGCCAGTTTGTTGTTTGTTTGGCCTACTTAACTGGTCAAATATAGACCAATAGACTATATAAGTGCTTCTGTTAGACCGGCCATGTGACACTATATTCGACAACCATATTCATGAAAGCATGTAATGAAGAAAACACAGCTATGAATTTGTCAAACACCAAACTATAACAGTCGATAGAAATGTGTGTTTAGGGTGTGCTTCTCTTATTTGCTCCCACGTCACAGTAATCACATCTATCCGTTTAGTCTGTGAAATACTATTAATATTCTGATGCATACGATTTAGACCTTTAAAACCTTTAAACTCGATACTGGTTTGCATACCTGGGTGTGGGCTTGTCGTCTGCCTCCTCTGAGACGTAGAGGTCCTGCAGGTACATGTGTCTGTGAACGTCCCCGTCCTGTAAATAACACGCACGTGTTATGGTGGGTGGGTTGGCTAATGTTATCGGTCAGTCAGAGTTATTGCTATTACCTCAAAGAGCTCGTGGTCCTTGTGCAGGCGGATGAGCTGCGGGCTGAAGTTGAACGGACTCTCCTCCTCATCTTCACTTCTCCTCGGCTCCTGTGTGTCTCCTGTCGAGCGGTCTTCATCGCAGCTTTCCGCTAACAGATGCTCATCTTTAAGCAGGCGGACCAGGTCGGGCTGCAGCACGGTTTCCATGTTTTCATACTCTTTATAACCAAGTAGAGAGCTCCTACTGCCCGCGCGAGGAGTTTTCTGTTTAGGTTGTAATTGTCGCGGAATAACGACGTCATCTAATGTGTTTTTTTGGCGGTGCGTTGTCGCCACCAACTGGCCAGATTCAACATCCACGCCAGGATGTTAGTTAATGAGCAAATGTAGTTAAATTTGTTTGGTATTTTATACACAAGTTACAAAATAAACTTGACCAGAGAAGGTATTACATGACATTAGCCCTGTGTGGAAATTGTACATCCTTAATATAGTTTTAAATTAATTGAATTATATATATATACTGATATAAAGTATGATTTTTCCAATGTGCAACAAACATTTAAGTGTCAGGATTTAACTCTACTGTAGCATAAAATTACCTTTCCTCTCACAAGTAGAGGACAGCCAAAACATTTACAACCCAGTCTATTTATTTTGTCTTACGGTGGCAACTCACATTATTATCGCCTGCAAAAAAAGTCACTCAGGAATTCAATTGAAATGGAGTTCTGCAGGTATTGTGCAGGACAATCAACTGTCCTGCGGGCCTTTTTTATGATATGAGACACAGAGCGAGTCTGATACATTCTGCCATTTTACCAGTAGGTGGCAACAAATGCCACTAACGGGCTTTAGTGGTTCTGTGTCATTTGATATTGGGTACTGGGTGTGTTTTTTATATAAATAAGGAGAGTCCCGAAATCTGCCCTGTAAAATATGTCTACATACAGCTGTACGTGAGTGTTACTCTAGTTTCCATTTGTCATAGAAATGTGTGTCTGTGTGGTGGTGGTGGTAAATAAGAAAAACAATGTCTCAGAGAGAACAACTTTCAAATAAGCCTAAAGTCTCATAACAACGATTGAGGGGTAATTGAGTGTAGAGCCCACGTTCTTTTTCAAGAAACTGCAAAATTGTACACGTTTTCTAAACGAGGTTCATCAAAGCGTTTTAATCCCCGTAAAATCACGTGACTCAATGTATATGCCGACTCAGCAACTCACGCTAATTTTGTAACCAAAAAAGAAGGAAAAAAAAAAATGACGTTAATCTTTTTTACCGGCTCTGGTTGTGACTCATGTGGTTTGTCAACCTCAAATGGTAATTTTCAGGATATTACACAGCAAAGAGGGCGGAGTGCTGAAGAGCCTTTTTCCTTCAGACTGCTAAGCTCACAATGACAGAGTCCGTCCGGTAGAGCAACATGCCATGTTCTGGATCTTTTGTTTGGATTTTCCTCTCCACATGGGGTACGACTTGTCTTTTTTTCTTTCTTTTTCTTTCTTTTTCTTTCTTTCTTTTTATCTCATAAATTATCCCCGATACTTGCAGGAATAATTGCGGGCAGTGTGAGGACTCTACCTCATGTGATGAAGTACCAAATAGTGATCCCTCAGAGGCTGGGGGATCCATCTCTCATTAATGATGCAGCCACACATCAGGTAACACACTCTACTCTTCAATTCGGATAGTTTTTTAGCTTTGGGAAAATGTATTAAAGTTTCATCTCTCTTTGTGTGTGTGTGTGTGTGTGTGTGTGTGTGTGTGTGTGTGTGTGTGT